CTATTATATTAATAAATGCGAAGGAAAACTTAATTGATATGACAGTTGAATGCAAAAGAGTCAAAATTTTAATTGCCACGATTATGCATAAATAGTAAAGAAACCTGCTTGGATGTATTATGTTCAGGAAAAACGTAATAGCACTGCAATAGTATTACGTTAAGGAGAAACGTAATAGCACTGCTTATATGTTGGCATGTAACGTAATTACGATTTTGCAAAATACGTTAAGGAAAACGTAATAGCACTGCTTATATGTTGGCATGTAACGTAATTACGATTTGCAAAATAGTTTCCTCAGAGTATTTCGTGTGATACACAGTTGTAGGGTAGGGTAGTCTGATATTACGCTAAAGGATTATGACGGCTTGGGTTCGCGTGAATATTAACGATAAAGGGTGCCATATGCGTAGTATAGCGTTCTATGTGACGCTCAAGGATGAGAACGGGCTGGTTTTATAATATGTGGCAGCAGTCATCCGTGAGGGACTGCTGCCTTTGCTTTCATTTTGTTGTTTGTTTATTTTATGTTATTAAAGCCACCCTTAAGTGTCACCAGCCCACGGTGGGCCCACACCCATTACATATTAAAAACAGTAATATCCTAGACTAAACCTAAACTAATCTAAACCTTTATATCATTTGAAAGCTTACAGTCATATATATAGAGGTTGAATTCATATTAAAACCTGCCAAACTTCCCATAGTACTTCAGTATAGGATGTCTACTAGGGATGGGCATCCAAAATAAAAGTTTGTGTTTACATAATATATGTGTGTGTAGTGTGTATAATTAATTTGTATATATAAATACCCACACATGCATGTATATATTTAAGAAATATGTGCATGTATACATTTTATATATATTTATTCACAATTAATATTATATATAAATATAAATATTTGATATATTAATAACACATTTTTCATAAATATATACATGCATGTGTGGGTATTTATATATACAAATTAATTATACACACTACACACACATATATTATGTAAACACAAACTTTTATTTTGGATGCGATTAATCGTTGCCCATCCCTAATGTCTACTTCAAAAATTGTATAAAAATTGTGGAAATATATGGTAAACTATATGGTAATGGAGTCTGGTTGTCACCTATTGAAAAAGTTTGGTACTGCGCCCAAACAAAATCTTACTGAAAGCGAATTTTTTGAGGTATCAATCTCAAATTTGAAACACACAACTTTTTCAGATTTTTGGCTTTGATTTTCTTGCAGTTTTAGAGTCCAACATGTTTTAAAGATATTTTATATAAAATATGATTAATTCAATTTTTACATTGTACATTTTCATAAACTCAAACTTCTACAACTTTTTTTCTGGTTCACTTCCTTAATTTATTTCACAGACAAAAATCATCCAAATGTCTTTAAAACAAGACCAATCTTACGTCTATATTCCAAAGCAGTTTTGAATTACAACTTTTTAAGTTTAGAATGTGCATTTTCATGTCGATTCAAAAAAAAAAAATGGGGGGAGCAAACAAACTTTGCTAAAGTATGTTTTTGTTTGTGTGCATACCTCTGTAACAATGCTCCGTGTAACATTTGTGTCGGGAGTGTAGAGGATTTTTCCTTGCAGAAAGGGTCTGACGGTTTTCCATAACAGACGCAGGCTGGACGAGCTCTCCATTGTGTCAGTCAAGTTTTTACAGTACTCACCTGGAAAGACAGAAGAGTGGATATACGTTAAAATATACAAAACATTACTGGAGAAGCAGATTCAGATGGAGCCAAGCTCAGACTCAAGCTTTGACTGCAATAATGTTTTTCTTGTGCATCAAGCAAGCACCACGCTTTCTATTTATCATATTTGATGAGCTCAGTGTGATCAAAATGGAATAAAAGCCTAAATCAAATCTGTGCATTGTATTAAGCTACTGTGTCTCTTTAGGAGACTTGGATTGAATGGCTTGATTCATATGGATTAGTTTTACAATGCATTGAACATTTACAATATTTCAATGGATGGGAAAATGATAGGATAATAACCATAAAAAAATATGTATAATTTTATTAGTTGAAATTAAATACATTTTAACTGAAATAAAATAAAATAAAACTTATTTTATTTGATTTTATTTTATTAGCTGGTTGCCAAGGCAGCATTTATCATTTTCATGTGACTTAACTTGAAGTAGGGATGGGCAACGATTAATCGCGATTAATCGCATCCAAAATAAAAGTTTGTGTTTACATAATATATGTGTGTGTAGTGTGTATAATTAATTTGTATATAAAAATACCCACACATGCATGTATATATTTAAGAAAAATTTGTTATTAATATATCAAATATTTATATTTATATATATATATAATATTAATTGTGAATAAATATAAAATATATACATGCACATATTTCTTAAATATATACATGCATGTGTGGGTATTTATATATACAAATGAATTATACACACTACACAAACATATATTATGTAAACACAAACTTTTATTTTGGATGCGATTAATCGCGATTAATCGTTGCCCATCCCTAACTTGAAGTACTAAAATAAATGTAAAAAAAAAAATGTATAAAAACTACATAAACACATACAAATAAAAATGACAAAAATACTATAACTATATGTAATGAAACGATATATATCTGCTTGCGCTTTGGTCGAAGAAGCAACAAAACGTCCTCAAGGACGTTTTGTGTCGCACACACTCGTTTCGGCTTGCGAGCCGGCCAAATAGTAACGTTACTTTTGAGCGGATGACGAGCGCGAGACGCCGAAATGGGTGCCCTAAGATTCTGAATGGAAAGTTTACTTTTAAAAAGTTGCCATATTGTCCCATTGACAAGACCAAGTGATGTGTGTTTTGTCGTTGTGAACTGAGCTATCATCATCGCAGCACGTCCAGTCTGAAACACCACTTGATGATGGCCAAGCAAACACACACACACACACAGATGATGTGAATTCTCCGCCCCCTCACCAATATTAGGACCTCGTCAGTATTTCTTTCACCCTTTTATTGATAGACAGTGTTACATTGTGTGAGAAATTATTTTTTTAGTGTGAAATTGAACACTATTCCAATGTTATTTTCAATAATAATTTTTCCACTTTTTCACTTTTCCATATTGATAAAAGCATTAAAATGAGAAAAAAATAATGTAACAAAAAGAAATCAAGAGACATTTAGAATAGATAAAAATGTGCGATTAATCGCGAGTTAACTATGACATTAATGCAATTAATCACGATTAAATATTTTAATCGTTTGACAGCACTAATATATATATATATATATATATATATATATATACACTCACATACATACATACATATAGACATTAAAACATCCAATTAGCATTTTCCAATATGTACTTTAAATTTGCTCAGAAAAAAGTTAATCAGTTCTTCAGAAGCTCGCTGTTCCCTACCGCAAAAACTCACCAGCAGCAACAAGCAACAAATTACGCCAACAAACGATTTAGATTTTATCTTAAAAATCTGTCACAGATTCATACTGAAAGTCAAGATTAGATTCAGATTTAACCCTCGAACCTCTGCACTTCAGCACATTCATGTATAGAGAAAGCAGAACAGGCATATAAAGGCATTTCTGCCCAGTCAGGTACACTCTGTTTTCCCTATAGAAAAGCAATAAACACTCTGTGCTCTAGCTGTGCCAGAAAATCATTACTTTAATTTGATTGAGCGAATGGGCAGCCCTTAGGTGAGACCTCAATCCAGGTAGGACATTTCAGTGTAAAATGATCATTATTTTGCTAGTGCTGAAAATCTGCAGTTATGTAATGATCAGGGCAAGGATTTATAAAACCAACAAGACTACAATTTTTACATAACATATGCCAAAATAAAAGTAATTATGCTCTTATTCTCACAACTAAGTAGTGTTATGCATAAATGCCCGTAGGTGTTAAGACCTGGTCTCAATTCATAAATTATTTAGAGCTAACAAAACCAAGTTACAGTAGGAGTTGCAAAATGGCTGTTTTGCATGGATCTGTTGAATGCAGTTGAATTTTGATTTGATATTTAATAGTTGAGTCAATACAGTGGCTTATTTTTTTTTTTCCATAACATTTTTCATTTGATAGAGTATTTTGGAGTTGGAAAATGTGATTTATAATCTATAAAAATCGCTAATGACCAGAGTTGGGGGTAATGCATTACGAAAACTGTGTTTTTTTGGGGCATTCGTAGTCTTAGCCTCAGACTAATGACGCCCACGGACCGTTGGCTGAATGTATGATGTATATGGCACACTTTTCTGGAAACAGTTCAGGAGTTTGGAAGTCGTGATCTGATTGATTGAATTCTTCAGGATGTCCAGGAGACGTGTGCGTCGCTTTCTTTAACAGTTCAGTCCGCCTGGAACCAGTTGCTGTGACGCCAAAACTCCTCGTTGAAGAAGAATGGCGTCGTGTTTATAACTGTGACAATGAGCGATTACCAGGATAAACTAAATGCTGGATTTTCGGAAGTATCTAAAATTTGCGGCTCTGTTGTTGCAGTAAACTTGCACAACCTTCTTGAATTAATCATTTATGAGATGCACGCCGGTCACCCCTAAACATGACGTGGAACAAAACGAACACTGATTTACGGTGGCCGAGAGGTGCAAAACAAATCACAATTATAAAAACAAAAAACAAGTCAGAAAACACAACGACAATTCAGAAAAACAACAACAAATCTGAAAACAAATTAACAAATCAGAAAAACACAAAACAAATCTGAAAACAAATTAACAAGTCAGAAAACACAAAACAAATCTGAAAACAAATTAACAAGTCAGAAAACACAACGGCAACTCAGACAAAACGGAAAAGGTAGGTATATGTGGCGAATGGAATACTGATCGCTGATTGGACGAGACATCTGTCAATCAAGACATACAGATAATACAGGCAGAAGAAAGATCGATTCGCGTGTGCATGTGTTAATATTAGCTGTATCGTCTACGATATTTTTTTTAATTATGTGCGAGGCTGCGAGCTGACATTATCGAGTAGGTCCCTCACTTTGCAAAAAACAAACATAATTGGAATGCAGTTATAATGCCCTAAAAATTCCAAATATAGGGGCAATGCCCCTGCATGAGCTTTGGCTTTTCTACATTTGTCGCACGAGGGAGACTCGAACTCAGGTCGTTCGCGTCAAAAGCTAAATCAGCTGTTCTTACACGCCACTCTCCCACTTTACCAGCTCGAGTTATTTTATAATTTTGCCTGACCAAACCAGATAGTGGTAGGAAGATTTTAATTTGAAAAGTTTTGTTCTCCATAATATCACTAAATTAGCCGGCTAAATATTTACACATGCACATGCGAATCAATCTTTCTTCTGCCGCAGGCGCAGTCTGCTGTACTTTCTGTATGTCTTGATTGACAGATGTCTTGTCCAATCAGCGATCAGTATTCCATTCGCCACATATACCTACCTTTTCCGTTTTGTCTGACTTGTCGTTGTGTTTTTTGACTTGTTAATTTGGTTTCAGATTTGTCGTTGTGTTTTCTGACTTGTTAATTCGTTTTCAGATTTGTTTTTGTGTTTTCTGATTTGTTCATTTGTTTTCAGATTTGTTGTTGTTTTTTCTGAATTGTTATTTTGTTTTCTGAATTGTCGTTGTGTTTTCTGACTTGTTTTTTTGTTTTTATAATTGTGATTTGTTTTGCACCTCTCGGCCACCGTGCTGATTGGCTGTCCTTGGCCAAGAAAAGCTGAGATACAGTCCAGACCTTCTGCCGTCAGTCTGATGTTCTGGGTAGACTGGGGCAGTCGTGACAAGTGGCCTAATGGTAAGAGAGTCCGACTGGTAACCCGAAGGTTGTGTGTGTCCACGATTTGCAGTATGTGTATGTGTGTGTTCCCTACTCACTAATGCTAATGTGTGTGCACTAAAGTGGATGGGTTAAATGCAATGCACGATTTAGCGCAAACTAAATCAACTATCGACTTAATAAAACGACTGTCAGGAGGGATACACGCAGATATAAGACATGCAGTGAAAAATTAGCACTCAAAAGGCCTGGACAGGGTTATTTTTGAGGATGACCTTATGCCTAGGGTTGGGTATCGAGAAACGAGTATCGATTGGAACCGAGACTAACTTTTCGTTTTTCCCGGAATCGTTCAAAAGTTAAAATTTCGATTCCTAGTTTCGATATTCACAGTCCGCCGAGCGGAAGAAGAAACCGCTGAACAACACCAACGAAGAAGCGTCTACCGGAAGTGTTGGCATAACCACGCGAGTCGAACATGAGTACCTTACGTCGGCGATCCAAAGTGTGGCTTCACTTTTCTAAAAATAACGAAATCTCGGCAAAATGCAAAATTTGTGACAAAAGGAGTATTTTTACAGAAGGAGTATTTCCTTCAGAAAGGATTATTTCCTTCAGAAAGGATTATTTCCTTCAGAAAGGCCGTTGGTCAGCAAGGTTAGCTAAACTTTTTTGACCCTGCCTCTTAAAAGAATCGGAATCGAGAATCGTTAGGAACCGGAATCGAAACAAGGAATCGGAATCGGAATCAGAATCGTTCAAATTCAAACGATACCCAACCCTACTTATGCCTATCTCTAGGGGTTTCCCTTTCAGACACAAAATTTATGGGAGGAGAGTATTTAAATGAATCATGCAAGGTGATTTACGTCAGTCAATTCACAGTTTTTTTGCTCCATTA